CCAGGGACGGAGATCAGTTACTTTTCAGATAGCTAGCTGTCCGGGCCCCTGCACCCCACTGTCCTTCCCACTCCTGCGGGGAATTTACTTATTTGCAGGAGTCAGGGACAGGATTTAAACAAAAATGTAAATGTATCATTTTTCCTAATTATAAAATTGGAAACATGCTTATCATTAAAAAAATAGTAAGTAAAACAATGGAGAAAAGAAAGTTCTCATCGTGCAACCCCCAGAGAGAACACTGTTAATAGTTGGTAACTATTTTTCCAGACTTTTCATGTGGATATCTGCATACATGCACAGAGACTAATTTTTTAAACTGGACTTATTCTACGTGTACATTCTTCGACTGGCTTGTTTTGCTTAAATGTGTATCTCGCTACCTTTCTGAGTAAGTGCACAAGATCTACCTTGTTTTCTCCATGAGGGCCCCTTGAGGCTCCGTCGATGCCTGCTCAGTGAGCATTTAACCCACCTCTTCTTGTTGCACATTTGGAACATTCTCGATTTTCAGTGATCCCTCAGCGATCTGCATATATTAAGACTGAAGGACAAATTCTCAGAGGGACTTGGTCAAAGAGTGTATACACTGTTCATTTCTAGTCAGTCATTCGTCATCACTGCCTCCCAGATGCATCTCCAAAGGCACCCCCTGTCCCCCCTTCTGCTGCCCCCTCCAGCTTGCCTCCCCCCCCCACTGTAGCTACACCCCCGTGCCCTGTCTCCACCCTGGCCCTGCCTCTCGAAATTCACTCGGGATCCCAGAGCCATAGCGCCCTTTCAAACCACAAGTCACATAACAGTGTGCCTTTGCTTAGCACCCTTCAGGGGCCTCTTGTGGCCACATAAACCAAAATCCAGACTCTGCCTCGGGGCCTCTAAAGCCCTGCTGTGACCCCTCCCTGCTCCCTGCCCTCCCTCCTCTGGTGCACACCGCCCTCCTGCCGTGGCTGCCTCCTGGCCTTTGCCTCTGCTCTTTGTCCTGCCTGACATGCTCGCGCCCCAGACACTCATCCGGTGGTTGTTCATCAGCCAGCTTTCCCTGACCGGCTTCCAACAGGGGCTTCTCAGCCCACTCACCGTCTGTGCATCATCCAGGCTGGCTCTTTCCTTCACAGTCCTGGCCACAGTAGAAATGCCCCTGTTTCTTTTTCTTTTTCTTTTTTTAAAGATTTTATTTATTTATTTGACAGAGAGACACAGCGAGAGCAGGAACACAAGCAGGGGGAGTGGGAGAGGGAGAAGCAGGCTTCCCGCCGAGCAGGGAGCCCGATGTGGGACTCGATCCCAGGACCCTGGGATCATGACCTGAGCCAAAGGCAGACGCCCAACGACTGAGCCACCCAGGCGCCCCCCCCCCGTTTCTTTTTCTTTATGCCCCGATTATCTGAGGCTTCGCCATCTCACTGCCCACCATTACCCCAGCCCTTAGCACGCCTGCGTGCCTGAATAAATTAGTGATGGCAGCCATCACCTCATCCCCTCCTCCCCCAATGGTTGGACCATCACGGAATGCAAAGGAGTTTTCTTTTACGCGTGGACAACCTAGAAGGAGTAGGGAGCAGTGGCCGAGGGTCACCTGTCACTATTCTGACACTTCATCACGATGACAAGTCAGACCAGCTCAAAAGCTGTAGGCACTCCAATCTGGGGGGGCCCCCAAAACTCCAGTCACTGAAACTGTGGGGTTGCAACATGGCAGAGGGGACAAAGAGGCTGGAGGGAGTCTGTTCAGGTGACCATGGGGTCAAGCATCCACTCTGTCGTTGGTGGCTCCACTCTGCTGTAGACATCAGCAGGGATGACCATGGGCCCTGGGACTGACCGGGATTTCCTGGACAGTGACCACAGTCTCCCAGCAAGGAATCGCCCAACTAGTGGTAACCGAAAGCATCTCTAAGTCATTGCCAAATGTCCCCTGGGAGGCGAACTCATCCCAGGTCAGAGCACTACTTTAATAAAACAATTCCGTCAGGCAGGGGTGTGTTAGCCCATTTTTTTTGGGTGCCAAAGACAGATCAGAGGACTTAAGTAACTTGCAAAGGGGTCACCCCAATGATGCCACCACCTCCAAGGCACGTGGGTGCTGTCCCCTCCTGCTTCCAGCCACCACCTGATCCCTGGCACAGTTTCATCATTTGGCAGATACTTGGCATGCAGCTCCCATGTGCCCAGCAGCGTTCTGTTCACTCGGTCAGTGTCACTGATACTTGGCATAGGCAGGATGGGAGGGAAAGAGCTGGAAGAGACAGTGTCCCCTTGCTGCTGTGATAACCTACAACTTAGTGGCTTCTCGGTCAGAAATCCAAGTTCAGGGGCGCCCAGGTGGCCCAGTCAGTGAAGCGACTGTCTTCGGCTCAGGTCGTGATCCCGGGGTCCTGGGATCGAGCCCCGCATCGGGCTCCCTGCTCCGTGGAGAGCCTGCTTCTCCCTCTGCTTGTGCTCTCTCTCTCTCTCTCTGACAAAAAAAAAAAAAGAAAGAAGGAAAGCCAAGTTCAGTTCCAGTCGTCTAAAATCAAGATGTCAGCAGCCCTGTGTTCCTTAGGAAGGCTCCAAAGGAGAATCCATCTTTTCTTTTCCACCTTCTAGAAGCTGCTGTCATTCCTTGGCTTGTGGCTCTTTCCTCCTTCAAAACCAGCAGTGTAGCATCTCTTCTCCTCCCTGACCTCTGCTTCCGGTTTTATATCTTCTCTCTCTGACTCCCGTCTTCCTGCCTCCCTCTTACAAGGACCCTGGTGATCACATTAGGCCCTCTTGGATAATCCAAGCTAATCTCTCCCATCTCAAGATCCTTAATCACATCCGCAAAGACCCTTTGGCACGTACAGTAACATTCATAGGTCCTAGGGTTTAGAACGTGGCTATCTTTGGGGGCCATTCATTCCACCAACAGCAATCTGCCCTCCGCTCCCAAAGATCCATGTCCATCCCACATATAAAACACATCTATTCCATCCCAAGCTTCCCCATATCCCAACCCGTTACGGTATTAAGTCCAGAATATCATCTGTATCTCACCTGCTCAAAACTTCCAAATCTTATCATCTGCATCATCTGAATTAGGTCTGGGTAGGACTCCAGGTAGAACCCCTCTGAGAGCAAAAGCCTCTCCATCTGCGGGCTCGTGAAACTAGAAGACAAGTTATCTGCTCCCAAGTACAATGGTGGGTCAGGCCCAGGGTCACGATGACAGACATTCCCATTACACCAGGGACAAAATGAAAGGAAAAGGGAGACACCAAACCCAAGCAGTTTTGAAATCCCAACTGGGCAAAGCCCATTGGGTTTCAAGGCCTTGGAGTAATCCTCTGTGGCAGGGCTCCGGCCTCTGGGCCCACGGCCCCACCCTTGGAGGCATCCTTCCTCTCTCATGGAGGGTGGCACGTGATCGTAGCCGAGTACCATCCTGCTTCCTGAGTGTAGAATTTGGGGAGGACGACAGCCTTCTTTTATTTTGTCCTTCCTCTCTCCTTTCTGGTGCAAGCAGGCAACTTTTGACATCCTCAAAAATCACATGGTCTCCTACGTACACCTCTTGGATTCCCTCCATTAGACAAGAGGTTCCTTCTCGGATCTTTCCTGGATAATCTTATCTCTGTGCCTGGCATCTGCTGGGATGTCGAAGAGGATCCATGAGTCCCAGGTCTAGTGTCTTCAGAGAACCCTCCATGTGGTTGAATTCTCTAAACTTTGGATCCTTCTCAAGTACTAGCAAAGGTTGTGCAGCCACGCCTCGGGTTTCTCTCCAGAGCACGCTCTTCTGAGCGCCAATCTCTGCTTGTTAGTATCTTTTGCGACTGGATCGGCTGAGCGTTTCCCAAATCATCAGATCTCAGTTCCAAGTTCCATTTATCACAGAACGATAGGCACAGCCCAGCTAAGCTCCTGCCACTATATCATGGGATCCCCTCTCTAGTTTCCATAACATGTTCCTTGTTTCCTGAGCCCCCACAGGCCAACACCTATGGTATCCATATTTCTACCATCAGGTCTTTTTTAGGACGATTTATCTAGAATGATCAAAGTATTGTAGTGCCTCTCCGCTCTTCATGAGCTGTCACTGATTCATAAGGTCCAGGGGTTAGGACACGGACAGCACGGCAACTGTCAAGTTTACTGGTCAACCACCAATATCAAGCAAGTGATATTGATTGCTTCTCATTTTCTCAGAGCTGTGTTAGGCAGCACGAGCTGTGGGAGAAGTATAGCTAGGCTGACCAAACACACTGGCTTGCCCAGGTAGTCCAGTTGGCATTTTCTTGTCCCAGGGTAAACAGACTAGTGCCCATTTTCCCTTTCAAAAGTGTCCTGGCTTCAGTGATTAATTTTCTGGTCACTCCAAGTGTAGATCTTAATGCCTGTCCTTCAGATTGTAAATCTATCTCATGGAGATGAAACACAGATTGAAAAAAAATTATCAAGCAGCTCTGGTTAAGTGCTAAATCTTATGACATCTTAGGTGCTTCTAAACATCCTTCGATACATAGGACAGCTTCCCCCCACAACTATCTGCCAGACATTGTACCATCTGGAATTTCAAGGGCATTTGGAGGCCTTTGGGATTTCATATTCAGAGTGGGGTCCCTGGACCAGCAGCATTAACATCACCTTGTTAGAAGTGCGCATTGTCAAGCCTTGTCCAGGACCCCCTGAATCAGAAACTCTGGGTGGTGGGACCCCATGATCTGTTTAAACGAGCCCCCAGACCAAAACATCTGTAACACACAGACGCGTGCACACACACACACACACACTCTTAGTGACATCCCAGTTGTGTGGCCACAGTTCATACTATAAATACCACTCTGCTAGAGAGTTGCTCCTTTGTCCCTGTCTTTGTTTTCTCGTCTTCAAAGCGATGACAACCCCATGTGTCAAGGTGATCTTGGTAAATGTTCGTTTGCCGGGAATAGTTCCTTGGTTTTAATGATCTATTTTCAGAGGAGTTTTTCTCAAAGTAACATATTTCATTTTTTGCTTCTCTTCCTGACTTTTGGCAGGAGCTAAGAAAAAGCCTGGAACTTAGTGTAAATCTACAGAGGAAACAAAGAGATTGTTCCAGTGATGAGTATGACTCTATCGAAGAAGAGGTACTCTCTGAGCCCGAGCCCGAGGAGCAGGTGCCGGTGGGCCACCCCAGAGAGGACCCCCCTCTTTGCAGTGGGGACTCCGTGCAGAAGGATGTTCCCGAGGACCAGAAGATGAAAGGGCACCCTCCCCAGGGCCCAGACCCCCTCGTGGTGCTGGAATTTAACCCAGCTTCCAAGAGTGAGTCCTGTCTTATGTGGGCATGTCTTTGCCTTTGGTGTGTCTGGGTCTAAGAACAGGACTTGAATTTCTAGCAGGGCTTGGGGTTCAGCTTTGGAGAGACCGTCCCACAGGCCAGGGAGATATGTCAGGTCTCTGCTGATTGTGAGAAGCCAAGGCTTCCAAAGACCTACAGATGACCCGGAAATTTCAGATGGTAGGTGTCTGGTGGATGGTTTGGGGGGTCTATCCTGTGCCTTGTAGGATGTGTAGCAGGATCTGCATGCCAACTGGCTAATACATCTGGCTTAAGCAAAAGGGACTATAATGGCTTGGATAACTGAGGAACTGTCAAGGACTCTCCCCTTCCCTTCTCCTTCCCTTCTCTCTTATCTCTGCCTTCCTTTGTCTTGGTACAAGACATTGGTACAAGACCCATTCACAGGTGGGCTCTCCACATACAGACACAATTGAGACATTGGCTTTATGCCTCCATCAGAAAGTGGATTTTTCTTCCTCAAAGCTCCAGCAAAGGTCCCAGGCCTGGCTCTTGAACCCACACTGGGTCACATCTCAGAACTTGTCACTGTGGCTCTGATTGACATGGTCCAGCCCATAAGGCTCTGAGTGTGGTTATTGCCGCCCAAACCACATGGACTGATAGTAGTTTCCAAAGGAAAAATCGAGGTGAATCTGAAGAAGAAGGAAAGTGTGCTGGGCAGGCAGAAATAGCAGCTGTCCGCCAGAGGAGGTTTTCCAGAAAAGACCCTGGAAAGGAGAGTAAAGAAAGCAGTTGAGGAGGGGCAGGGAGGGGCCAACCTGCCACAGTCCCCATGCCCAGTCCTGGGTTGGCTTGGTCTCTGCCTGCCCTTCCCTCTCCGTTCCAAGCACATCCTCCTCAAAGAGGTATGTGCCATACTTTCTGAACCAAATATCGAGGCCAACCAGCTGGGAAGCATGACTGAGCCCAAGGGAAGAGAAATGAGGGAATGTCTGAAATCAGGCTGAGTGTATTAGTCTGCTCAGGCTGTGTAACAAAGTACCACAGACTAGGGGGGAGCTTCAACAGCAATGGGAATGTATTTCCTTCTAGTTCCAGAGGCTGCAAGTCCAAGGTTGGGGTGTTAGCAGGTTGTTTTCTTCTTGGGCCTCTCTCCGTGGCTTGTCCCTGGGTGTCTTCCATCTGTGTGGGTCTGTGTGTTCTAATCTCCTCTTCTCACAAGGACACCTGGCAGACTGGATTAGTGCCCACCCTAATTGACTCCTTTTACCCTAATTACCTCTTTAGAGACCCTGTCTCCAAATACAGTCACATTCTGAGGTACTGGGGATTAGACTTGAACATACGAATTTGGGGGAAAGGGGGTGGGGCGGGATATAATAACAGGCAGCCCTGGAAACTGCACACCTGGTGGTCAATGCCCCCAGAGAAGAGAACATTTGTCCCTCAGACGTGCTCGCGCTGTGTTCTCTCGCCTTCAAACCTTCGCTTGGGCTGTTCCCTCTGTCCAGGTGCCCACATCTCCTCTCCTCTCCACTCTGAACCCTGAAACCTGGCTCCCTGCTTTCCCCTCAAGACTCAGCTTAGGGGCGGCTTCCTGCAAGAAGCCTCCTTTGCCCTCCCAGCTCAGCCAGGTGGGTTGGTACCTCCTCTGCACCCAGAGCATCATCATGGCACTGGTCTTGCCATGGATTCCGGTTGTCTTGCTCCCCCTCTGGCCTGTGAGCTCTGCCAGGGCCCAGAACCGTGCTGAATAAATAATAATAAATAAATAATAACAATTGCCAACATTTACTGAATTCTTACTAACATGTACCAAGCGCTACTCCGAGGGCTTAGCATCTATAATCCTTACCACAACGCCAAGGCAAGCCCTGTCAAACTCCTTGCTTCATAGCTGGGGACCCCGGGGAACAGAGAGGGCAGATAACTTGCCCAAGGTCACACAGCTAGGGAGGGGCAGAGTGGGATTGAATTTGCCAGGAGTCTGAGCCCAGAGCCTGGGCCCTTAATCACTAGGCTGAGTACATAAACCAGATCAAGTTACAAAGCAGTGGCTGGGCTTTGAGGAACCAGTGAGTAACGCCACCCCACTCTGTCTTCCCTCCTAATTGAAACAAATGAGAGATGGGCTTGGGAATCTGATAGGAGAGCAAATGTTCGCCTTTCCAACTGAGAAGAGCCAGCTTGCTGGCTACTCGGTGTTGCCCCTCTGAACTAGGCAGACCCCCGGCCCCAGATGCTGGCCGAGCTGGGCCACTGATCGCATCAGTGTGGTGGCAGATGGCCTTGTGCCCTGAGGGCAGCCCTGCCGAGGAGGAAGGGGAGTGGCTGGATTGCGCTTTGATGGCTTCCTGCCACCAGCCTCCCCAACCTCCCCATCTCCCGTCACATCCCCTGTGTTCTCCCTGTGAGTGAGGGCCAGTGCGTGAGTGACACAAAGAAGGACAGAAGGTAATGCAAGGAGGGGCGCCTGGGTGGCTCAGTGGGTTAAACATCTGACTCTTGATTTCAGCTCAGGTCATGATCTCAGGGTCGTGAGATCGAACCCCAAGTCAGGCTCCATGCTGGATGTGGAGCCTGCTTAAGATTCTCTCCCTTCCCCCTGCCCCTCCCCCCCCCGCTCATGTGCATGCTCTGTCTCTGTCTCTGTCTCTCTCTCTCTCTCTCTCTCTCTCGATCGCTCGCTTGCTTGCTCAAAAAAAAGGAATTCAGGGAGGAGGAGGGAATGGTACCGCCAAGAGTCTTAAATATCGTGAAGACTATAAAACAGGACACTGGTTGGGGGACGGGGCTCAGAGAAGGACCCTGGGAGCTAGAGTGGTCAGAGAAGCCTTCTCAGGAGCTGATGGTGAAGCTGGGACAGGAATGAAGAAGAAGCAGCTGTGGGAACAGCATCCCAGGGGCAGGGAGTAGCAAGCGCAAAGGGCTCGAAGAGGGAGCGAGCTTGGTGTAGGTAGGGACAGGGAAAGGGCCAGTGTGGCTGGAGCCAAGTGAGCATGTGGGGAGTGTGGTACATGATGAGGCTGGTAGGTGATCCCAGGCCACTTTCCATGAAGACTCAAGGGTTCTAGGCTAGCAGCAAGGGTCTGGATCCTTTGGTGCCCTAGAAAATATCCTTGTGTAGACTTGCAAACAAGGAGGGCCATCTTATGCAGAGGAGGGGGAGGTAGATGCAGAGAAGGTGGTTCAGGGCAGGGCTCCAGGTCAGGCGGGCCTGGTCAAATCTCAACTCTGGGACTTCAGACCAACAGCTTGAAACTCAGAGCCCTACTCTATAACAGTATGTATTAGTTTTCTGTTGCTGCTATAACAAATGATGACAACTCGGTGACTTAAAACAGCATACATTTATTATCTTACGGTTCTGCAGGCCAGAGGTGGGACGCGAGGCTCACTGGGCTAAACTCAGAGTGTCAGCAGGGCTGTGATCCTTCTGGAGGCTCTAGGGGAAGATTTCTCTCACCTTTTCCAGCTTCTAGAGGTTTCCCCATTCCTTGGCTCACGGCCCCTCCCTCCACCTTCAGAGCCAGCAACCTTGGGCCTCTCTGCGCCTTTCTCCCAGAGTCCCCTCACCCTCTGGCCCTCCTTCTGCCTCCCTCCTCCCTCTGCACATGCGTGGGTGTGTTTTATTTCGGTCAAGTACACCTGTTGTATTTTACCATTTTCACCATTGTTTAAGAGCGCTGCTTGGTGTTACTAAGTGCAGTCGCGCCACTGTGTAACCATCACAATAATCCATCTCCAAAACTTCCTCATCATCCCATACTGAAACTCTGACCCTCTTCCACTTTTAAGGACCTTTGTGGATTACACTGGATCCACTGGGATAATCCAAGATAATCTCCCTGGTTTAAGGTTAGCTGATGAGCACTGGGGATTCCCCACTGCCTTGTGACTTTGTGGTAGGCAGTCTTTGGGCGGGCCATTATTCAGCCTCCCACTTGCCCCCTGGGATGGCTGGGGAGGTGACTGAGACGGGGTGGGCCAGGGACCTGAGCCAGCGCCGGAGCGCTCCGGAGGTCAAACCCCGTCGGTGCTGGTTGTCACTCTTTGTAGCAGCAGCAGATTTTCAGCACGTAGGGAGCCAGTCTTGTGGTCATTTGCCCCCCTCCATTCTCTGTCTTGTCCCATTGGACATAGCGGGTCCTGGATGTCATCCCTTGGGTCCTGCATTTCAGGCCAGCCAGGGAGCAGCTGCTTCAGGAAGTATATAGAGAAATACACGCACGTCCTTTGTAAAGCCAAGAGGGGATGGTGGAGAGGTTGGTGCAAGTCTGACCCCACATAAGCCCCCAGCCTCCGTCCTGAGCTCCCAAGAATCCCACAGAGCCCTGGATTCTGGGATTCCCTCTCCTCTGGGCACCCCAGAGGCCCCCAGGATTGTTCTGCTGGAAGTCCTTTCCCATTGCTCTCCCAGCAGGTGGCTCCCGGGGTTGCTGCCTTGCCGGGCCAGGAGGTCTGCACGCAGTGACCTTCACCGTTCTCCCTGCCTGCAGAGTCCATTCTGCTTAGCCACCCCAGCCTCGCTGCCAGCAGGGCTGCTCTTCGGCCTGGCGGTCCTGAGCGTGTCCCCCTCCTGCTCTTAAACCTGTGCTGGCCAGAGCCCTCGTGCCATTTTTCCTGTGCTTGAGCCATTTGCAAACCTTCTGAAGTCACATTTTTTTTTTTTTTTTGCCACCTCCACAAACCTCCTGTGCTATTTCTTAGCTGTTGTTTAAACAAACACCTTTCTTTTTTTTTCTCCCTCTCTCTCAATTTCTCTCCCCACTGCCCTTTCTTTCTCTTTCTTTTCTTTAATAATTCTAGGATTGTTCTAAGCAATACTGTCCGTGAAGTCAAGTGTTCGATGGGCCGGTTACATGTTTTTCCATGCACATTCAGTTATGTAACTGCTTAAAAACCATTTGCCCACACGGCATCTAGCGTCGTCTCCCGTTCCACCCGTGGTCCAGGCACCCCACTTCGGGAGATGTCGACTCGACAGCATAGCCTGCGGGCCCTTCACTGTCTGGCTCCAGTCACCCCCTCGGGTCCCAGCCGCTCACCTGCCACATAACTTTCCAGCTGTCAAGCCTTCGTACATGCTGTTCCCTGTGTCTGGAATGCCTCATCTTGGTGCCTCTGGTAACATCCTGGTCACCTGTAAGGGCCCTCCACACTGTCTCCTGCACTCCCACCAGCTACATCCTTCAGGCTGCATGCTCCTCCATGCCCCTGGTACTGGAACCTTCTTCCATCTCAGCCCTCCCCTCTTAGCCCTTCCACCATCTTTTCCTCGGCTAGGCTGTGAATGCCTCAGGGGCAGCAAGTGTTTTACCCTACTCTTTCCACCCCAAGATGTCCTTGGTGGCACATTATTTTATGTACCACACTGCCAGTTAAACCCAGAACCTCAGCAATGGAAGACTCCACCCTGCTCAGAAATGTTAACATCTGAAAACCTATACATATCGTAGAATATTTCATTTGTTTGCCAAAGTGTGCTGCGTTATTCACATCTCTGATCCCAAACTAGCATGGTGCCTGGCACGAGTAGGGGTTCAACAAATATTTGTTGAATGAATAAGTGAACGAACCGACAGATACCTAAGCAGCATGCCCCAAATTTGCTGGCATTCCGTGTCTGACATCTAAACCCTCGTTTTCCTACAGGTAATAAAAAGGAAAGGAATTTGTCTGCTAAGCGGAAGGACAACGCTGAGGTTTTCATTCCCAGCAGACCCGAACTGAACTTGAACCCCCAGTCCTCTGCTGTGTTCCCAGACCAGGAGAAGACATGCTCAAGTAAGAGTTCTGGCGGCCCCTGAGCAGGGCTGGGCTGGGTCCCTCCCAGTGGGATGCTGTGATGGAGGAGTCCTTGCTTGTTACCCTCTTCGTCAAGGCCTAAGCTCACCTTTCACAAATGTATTGTTAGTCAAGGTCTCCAGAGAAACAGAACCAATAGAAGTGTGTGTGTGTGTGTGTGTGTGTGTAATTCCAGTCTACAGGCTGGATCAGCAGGTTGGAGACCCAGAAAGAGCCAGTGTTCCAGTACGAAGGCCATACATACTGGAAGGGCCAATGTTGCAGAGGAAGTCCAGAGGTAGTCTTCTGGAGAATTCTCTCATTGAGAGAGGGTCAGTCTTTTTGTTCTATTCAGTCCTTCAACTGATTGGATGAGGCCCACCCACATTCCAGATGGTAATCTGCTTTACTCGCCAATGAAAATGTTAATCTCATCCAAATACACCTCTTGGAAACACCCAGAATAGTGTTTAACCAAATATCTGGGCTCCCTGTGGCCCAGTCAAATGGACACATGACATCAACCATCACGGTGCCTTTCTCATACTGCAACCAAGATGTGGTTATAATTGAAAACCTATTTTAGTTTTGGTTTTACTTTTTAATTTTGTTTTTACTCTTAAATTAATTTGTTTACTTAATATGGATAATGTTGCATGCAAATGGTACTACATTCTAAAAGTACAAGAGTTGATGGTGAAGTCGGTCTGTTGCTCTTCTAATGAAACGAGACGTTACGTTGATTACTTACCGTGAGCCGGCCACCGCTGTCAGCTTTTAGTCCTCTCACTTATAAGTAAATGATAATCCTTATACATAGCCTTTGAGGTAGGTCCAGGGATTGTCCCCATTTCACAGATGAGGAGCTGCGGTCCAGAGCAGGTGACTCACGTGGCTGGAAAGTGGCCGATGTAGGCCCCAAACCCTGGTGGAGAGACTCCATGCTGTGTCCTGATCAGCAGACTACACGCACTGGAGGCTGTCGGTGAATCCTTGCAGCCTCAGGCCCTGGGTCAGATCCAGGGGCAGAGTGTGCCTGGGGAAGCCACTTGCTTCTGGGTTTGCCCCCCCAAAACAAAGCACCTCAGAGAGTTCAAGGCATCCTGCTATCCCAAGAATTTGGAAGCCTGGGGTGTCCTGGGCAAATATCCAGCCCCAGCCAGCCAGCCTTGTTAGACAAGCAGTCCGTCGGAGCCAGGGGCCCTGACCTCCGTGGCTGGCATCCCACCCGTGTCTCCTGGGAGCTGGAGGGACTGAGGCCTGGGCTCAAAGGCAGATGGAAGGAGAAGTAGCAGAATCAGCCATCATTTACCGAGCGCTAGCTCTAGCTGTGTAAACGTTGTCTCTGGAATCCCCCAGCCTCGGGCTCCGAGGTAAGGATTTGAGAACGAGTCCTTTATTTGGGAGGCGGTCCCTGGTTAGCAGCAGCAAAGAACTTTATCACCAAGCAAGTTCATGGGCAAGCAGAGCGCCTCCTGGCTGGGGCGTTCTGGGGGCCGGTGCTGAGCACAAGTGTGTGTCCTCTGCTCCCCACCCCAGGGCAAAGGAACTAGGCTCTTCCATACCCCTCCCTGGTGCCAGTGGAGCCCAGAGCCAGAGCTGCGGGCAGAGGTTTGGCTGACAGGCTGTGGGCAGGGCAGCACCCGGGCATTATCTGATTAATTCTTACCACAACCCAAACTCCAACTGAAGGAAAGGACACACGAATTTTAGGTAGCAAGTGATTTTATTTTATTTTTTTTTTAAGATTATTTATTTGAGAGAGAGAGAGAGAGAGCAGAGTGTTCAAGAACACAAGTGGAGGGGGAGGGACGGAGGGAGCAGGAGAAGCAGGCTCCCCTCTGAGCAGGGAACCCGATGCCGGGCTCAATCCCAGGATCATGATCTGAGCCAAAAGCAGATGCTTAACCGACTGAGCCACCCAGGGGCCCTAGGTAGCAAGTGATTTTTAAAAAGTGCCTTTAAGGGAAAGAGTCCGAATTAACCCACGTAACTAAAAAGTTTAGGTGGTGGGATCTTAGGCACAGCTGGATCCAGTGATTAAAATCAGCAGTCTTCCTCTGCCCATCTCCCACTCCAACAGTCTCTGTGCCCTTTGTTCTTAAGCGGGCTCTTAGGGGTGGGGGGACGGGCACCCGTGGCCCTGGGCTTGCAGCCCCCAGCCCAGCCGCCCTGGCAGAAAGCAAGCCTGACCACCTGCTGTAAGTCCTGCCCGTGCACCTACTAGCTCTGTGAGCTCAGGCAAGTTACTTAACCTCTCTGGGCCTCATTCGTCCATCTGCCCAGCAGGGATAAGAACAATACCTTCATCCGAGGGGTGCTATCAGGATAAAAGGGCTGGAGAGAGGATCACCTGGCTCAGAGCAGGTGCTCGGCTGGGTCAGCTGGCACCGTCCACACCAATTCCAGCAAAGCCTCAGAGCTGCTGTTATTCCCGGCTTAAGTCAGGGGTGCTTCCGGGAAGGAGATAGGGGTGCTGTCAGCAGAGACAGTGGGCGCCAGGCAGCAAAATCCAGGAGATCCCTGTGAATACTGCTGCCCCCTTCTCCCATTTCACAGATGAGGAAACCAAGGTTGAGGACATGGAAGTTACCCGCCGAGAGTTAACAGGCAGGACGGCGAAGCCAGGATTCACACCCAGGCTCCAAGGCCCACGCTCTGGGGTGCCGGGCCCGGCTGCTTCTCCCCAGGGCTGGCTGGTCACAGAGGCGGCTTTGGAGGCACCGGGGTGGGGGTGCTGGCCCTGATAAGCCTGGTGGTGACTCGGGCAGTGTTACGGCGCAGGTTTTCAGTCCAGTATGGGGAGCCCTGGGGTAGGGGGGTGGGGGATTGGGGGAGCCGTTGGGGCCGGCAGTGAGCATCCTGGGGATGTGGCCTGGCCCATGGGCAGGGCCAGCCGGGGAGGCTGGGCCACAGGCTCCTGGCCCGGGGCTGCAGTCAGGGCATGCCCCAGTCCAGCCCAGTCCAGTCCTGGATGCTGTTCCAGGCAAGGCAACAGGTCATTTGCTGTCTCCTTTGACCTCACCTGCTCTGGGCCTCAGCTTCTCAGCTGTGACATGGGGACAATCCCTGGACCTACCTTAAAGGCTATGTATAAGAATTATCATGGAGCACCTACCATGTGCTGGCCCTGGTCCAGGCTCTGGTGATCCAGTGAGCGGCACACTGTTCCTCGTCTCTTGGTGTTTATATTTCAGTGGGCAGGGATAGATAACAAATACGAAGATGGGGTGGTGACACCTACCCCCGAGACAGCAACGGGGTACTGCCTGGGCAGTGTGCTTAGAGGAGACCTCCCTGAGGAGGGGCGACGTGAGCTCAGACCTGGTGAGGTCAAAGGTTCCGTTTGCAGAGGGAAAAGCCTATGCAAAGGCCCTGAGGTAGGAAAGAGCTGCTCAGTTGGCTCAAGAATCAGAAAGAAAGCTGGAGGCCAGAGCATAGCTGCTGAGGGGAGGGCAGCTGAGATAGGGTCACAGAGGTGAGCAGAGGTTGCCATGACCTACTTTACATTGGAACAAGGTCCCTCTGGCTGCCACGTGGAATGTGGCCTGTCGGGAGCCATGGTGGATGTGGGTGACCAGGGAAGAAAGAGCCCGTTGCAGAATGCAGAAGGTGGTAACTCGGTCTCTGAGTTTTACCAGTGGCTGGATTCCTGATAGCAGTCGGGCTTGGTGATGAGACTAGTTGTGACTTATCCTGAACGGCCAGGGGCAAGAAGCTGGGCAATGGGGAGGCCACCATGATAGGGCAGGAGAGTCAAAGAGACTCAGCAATGACGGGGGATCCCTGGCTTGTCACTTGTCTGGGGCAGGCCCTGAATCTGTGCCACTAGCGAAGGAGATCCAAGCAAGCCAGGTGCCTGGAGCTGGGGTGTGTCCAGACAGGTCATGTTCAGTGCTAAGCCCACTGCAGGGAGAGTGGGGTCTGATCTGTGGCCTGCTGCAGCGGGGAGTAACCTGGACATGCAACCAGACAGACAGAGCCTGCGGTTGGTGGAGTTGTCTGCATTCACCAACACGAAAAGCCAAAATCCGGTAGATAGAGCTAGGACCAAACTGGTTCCTGGGACTTGTTGGCAAAAGCCAGAGCCTGGAAAGTCACCCGCATGGAGCCCAAGGAAGGTAGATGTAGGAAGGGAATCACTGTGGAAGTGATATGTCGACAAGGGCATGTCAAAGTCACAGCAGCTGATAGGGTTTGAGATGTCATGTATGTAAAAAGATAATTAAAGATATAGTCTATGGGGTAAAGAGTAAGTTGTAAGATGTCAGAAAAACCTGGTGAATTTTGGATCCATCCGCTTTGGTCGGAAGAAGCTGGAAGGAGAGAGAGAGAAGGGTCCAGGGGACAAGATGAAGGCCGGGTCAACTCTCAGAGCCCCAACAGCAAGTGGAGAGTGCAGGTGGCAATCCCGGGTGGTGGTATTTCTTCAACATCCAAACCAGCTCCACTAACTGCTGCTCGGTATATACTGCTGGTGTTCACCCTTCATGAAAAAATTAAAAAGCGTTTCCAGAAAGTTCCTCCAAAATGAGTTATTGAAAGAAATGAAACCCAGAGTAGTGTGCAGGAAGCCTTCCAGAGCTCCTGGTAGAGTGGGAGCAGGACTGTGGTGATCAAGCAACCTTCCCAGCCATCCCACTGGGCTCACTGGGACTTCTCTCCTTCATGTGCATGCCACGATCACCAGAGTTTCCATGTCTGGGTAATAAAATGAAGAGCCCACACTTACAAAGCACTGACCCAAAAAAGCTGTGTTTTATACCACACATGTAATCTTGCATTTAATCATCTAAACCACTCCATGCACTAGACACTGCCATTAGCAACAACCGTAATACTGAGGAAACCAAGGTACAGAGAGGTTGAGGAATCTCCCCAAAGTCACACAGCCAGTGAGTGGTGAAAGCAGTGTTTGAAAACCTGACTGCAGAGTCTTTTCTTAACCACCCCACTGAGTGCGTTGTCCCTCATGTGCCAACTAAAATGCTATTTGCTTA